GTCGTGCGACAGTATTCTTAGGCCAGACAAGGGAGCCTGAAGGGTGACGCAATCCGTGTGCCCGGTTGCAGAAAGACAAAAGTGTTGCGAGCGTCACTTTTCATGTAGACATTGTAGGTGAGGTTTGGAATGAAACAACAGATTCTGGAGAGTGGAGAGTTTGGTACATGACTCAATGATACTCAATGCATATCCGAACTTCCAAATCTGCAGCATTAGGATCCTCAGCCTCGAACTCGCGCAAAACGTGCAAAAATGGCGGGCTTGCGAGTGATCTACGGAACGCTGATTGGAGTGTCCCTGATTGGTGAAGAACCTCGCCAGATGGGCGTGCAATCCAAGAGCAGTCCAAACCTTCATGAAGCAGAGAAAGCAGTGAGCCGGGCGGAGGCACAGTGGATCCCCTTCTTGGCCGCTTCCCAGTTATGTAGAGGAGGAAGGTTTGTAGGAACCAGTTTGGAGAAAATCGCCTACTTTGTGATGTCCAAGCATGTCTGCCGGCGTTCCCAGTGCAGGCATATGTGAACGACTTGGAGCGGAGAGCAGATCAGAAGACGTTCCTTCACCAGTTCCCTCAGCCGCAAGCTGCTCCAGTTCAGCGACGTGGGCCGTGAGGGGCAAAAGGCTGTGCCACCTGGTACATCCTGGTACTGTAGAGGATTCGAGTGAGATGAAGCTCTTTGCGTAGAACAATTTTGAGTTCTGTGACCACAGACCACCGACCGACCGACCATGGTCGGGACGCCGACCGGCTGTCTCTCTTCCGTTCTTTTCTGCGCAATCAGCGGCACAATCTGGTTCCATCGTCCCTCTTGATTGTCAGGATCCACATTGGTCAAGATTCACCGATCTGGTTCAAAACTTTGGGCAAGACTGTAGTTAGGTGTATCATGATGTATAATATCTCCTGAGTGTATCCCATCTCCTGAGTGTCCAAATTTGGCCAAGAGGGTGCTGCTTTGATTGTGCACCAGGCCGTGCCCCCCTTTCAGACAACATGGAAACACGTTTATTGTCCGACAGCCAGTGCTGCCCTGACCTTGGCAAGTCCATTTGCATCATTTGTATATATAGAGATGCGCAAGCAATTCTGGGGGGGCCCTCGTTGTAAGCCGAAAGTTTGGGAAACTTGTGCAGAGGGGGGGTACGTGTCTCACGTATGCAGAGGTAGGTAGGAGCTGTTGAAGCGATGCGTGAATTCCATTGAATCAAAGAACCATTTGAGCACCTTTCATTGACAAAGCCGCTTGAGGAAGCAAACTAACATCTGATTCACGCATCTCACCTCAGCTCCCGCT